ATCCAACTGCCTACTGAACACGTCTACTTGGGTGTTATACTGGTACCTCAGATAGATCATTTCCAAAACTGAATTCATCATCCCCCTTCCAAGTCTTGCTGAGAATAACCCCTCTCATGGCAGGATATCACATAGTATCTCCAATCACTACCTGGAGAGTTATCCCATACTTTTCCCTCCCTCTAATCACCTCCATCCACTTAAGTTTCCATGTTTTGAAGCTGAAGCTCCTAAATATCTTCAGTGTCTATTCTCTCCACTTCTGTTTGTTACAATCCTTTTAGCCCCTCATTATTACCCCTGGCTTTCCCTATCAAATTGCCTTACCCTTTATATCAGCAGCCTCAAATCATCCTTCCAGTTTCTGGATATGATCATGTTATTCCTCTGCTCCAAATTCTTCAGTGGCTCCCCACTGTCCCCAGATAAAATACAAACTCCTACAGCTAGGTCACAAAATTCACTCACATTATACTCAGATGTGTGGTGATATGCCTCCTGTTTCCTATAACAGATCTGATCTTTCTCACAATGCCTTTCACCCTGCTGGGTATCAAGGGGAAAACTAAAATTAATCCATTCTGGTAAACTCCACAGGGCCCAAAGTTTATTTTAGACAGTCTCCAACTCTGTAGCTTTGGATGACTCAGTCTTTCAGATTATTTTATCCTTTTGCTTTCTCTTTTTCAATATAGGATCTAGATTTCTAGAGATCTTATGGCATAGGAAGGAAAAGGCCCCTTAGCCACTTGGTCCTTGGGGTTATATCATGTATTTGCTGAGATGTGATTTGTCTGGTATAAATTAATTGGGGAAAATAACCTCCTAATGTAATCAATCATCTTACAAATGAAGAAGCTAAAACTGAGAGTCATTTGTCCAAGGTTGCCAAATTAGTGGCAGAGCCAGTTACCCACACCACCCTGATGCCAGTAGACATTTGGCTATATGAGTCAAGTAAAGAGAGAAGTTTAAGACTAGAAGTCTTTTTTTTTTCTTCTGTCGGTTGTGGGGCTTGAAGTCTGGGCCTGGGCACTGCCCTCAACTCTTCAGCTCAAGGCTAACACCCTACCACTTGAGCAACAGCGCCACTTCAGGCTTTCTGGTGGTTTATTGGCGATAAAGAGTCTCAAAGACTTTCCTGCTTTGAACCGCAAGCCTCAGATCTCAGCCTCCATACAGGAGTGAGCCACCAGTGTCTGGATAAGACTACAAGTCTTAATGATATAGCTCCAAGGATGTGACGCTTCATGGAGGACATGTGAGATAAGAGAGCCCAAACCAGAACATTTAAGAGTCACTTGGAGCCGACCAAAAAAAAAAAAAGAATAACTTGGAGCTGGGGCCAGTGGCTCGCGCCTGTAATCCTAGCTACTCAGGAGGCTGAGATCTGAGGATCATGGTTCAAAGTCAACCCCAGCAGGAAAGTCTGTGAGACTGATCTCCAATAAACTACCAGAAAACAGGAAGTGGTGCTGTGGCTCAAGTGGTAGAGCATTAGCCTTGAGCTGAAGAGCTGAGGACAGCGCCCAGGCCCAGAATTCAAGCCCCACTACTGACCCCCCCAAAAAAAAAGAATCACTAGGGCTAGGAGTATAATGGGGTGTGTGCAGATGGCAAGGCTCTAGTCACTTAGGTTAGATTCACGGGGTGGGGGAGGGAAGGAAAGAGAAGAGAGAGAGAGGAGGGGAGGGGAGTGATGGGGCAAGGAAGGGAGGCAGGCAGAAGAAAAGACCTCCCTGGCATATCTCCCTATCTGACTGCTCCTGTCCAAGCTATATTCGCCTAGGAAGGTTTCTAGAATGGAGAATCAGAACCTCCTCCAGGCTTGGATCTATTCCAGCCAGAGCTGAACCATTCTTCAGGGCATCCCGTCCTCTGTCTCAGGTTCCCCAACCACAGAAAAGCACAAGTTTGCCATCAACCCTGGGTAGGAGCTCAGTAAAATGCAACCGGAGAACTTTTATCACTGAAGATCCTCACACCACCTTCTAGGGCCATGGAATGGGGAACCAACTGCAAACCCTCTCGACCGGGGGCGAAGGGTCCATACCTAGGTGAGAGTGGGATGCGCGAGACGACAGTGGCTTCCTAGCTGAGAGTCTCCACCTTGGAGACGCAAAGCCTTCTTTCAAATGACGGTGACAGACCTCTCCCTGACATGGAAGGGTGATTTCACGTGTGTGTGTGTGTGTGTGTGTGTATGCGCGCGTGCAGTGACCTTAGCCTTGCACAGATGGGTATATAGCTATCTCAGGCGTGGAAGGCGCAAACACAAGAAAGAAAAGAAAAAACAAAATAGCGGGCTTCGCCCTGCCCGTGACAGCCTCCGCTGGATGAATGTACACAAAGTAGCGGGTTCAGCCCTCCTCCTGTCCCGCGGCACCGGGGCGGTCCCGTCCCACCCCAGCGCTGGGCCAATGGCGCGCGAGCTGGGAGAGGCCAGCCAATGGAAGCGCGGCAGCGGTGCGGCGATGGCTCCGCCCCCGGCGGGCCGAAGGCGCCGGCCACCGGGAGGCGGGGCTCGTCGGTGTTTTTGCGGCGGGCCGAGCTTGACCGAGCTCCG